CACTCTTTTTCCCTCATCAATTCTATGATTCACCTCATCTTTCATAGACCCATCCGCTGACACGTCCACTCCCAAATATCTGAATACGTTCACTCCTCCATACTCTCTCCCTCCAATCTGATATTCAATCTTTCATCACCTAATCTTTTTGTTATCCTCATAACCTTACTCTTTCCTGTATTCACCTTTAATTTTCTTCTTTTGCACACCCTACCAAATTCATCCACCAATCTCTGCAACTTCTCTTCAGAATCTCCCAAGAGCACAGTGTCATCAGCAAAGAGCAGCTGTGACAACTCCCACTTTGTGTGTGATTCTTTATCTTTTAACTCCACGCCTCTTGCCAAGACCCTCGCATTTACTTCTCTTACAACCCCATCTATAAATATATTAAACAACCACGGTGACATCACACATCCTTGTCTAAGGCCTACTTTTACTGGGAAAAAATTTCCCTCTTTCCTACATACTCTAACTTGAGCCTCACTATCCTCGTAAAAACTCTTCACTGCTTTCAGTAACCTACCTCCTACACCATACACTTGCAACATCTGCCACATTGCCCCCCTATCCACCCTGTCATACGCCTTTTCCAAATCCATAAATGCCACAAAGACCTCTTTAGCCTTATCTAAATACTGTTCACTTATATGTTTCACTGTAAACACCTGGTCCACACACCCCCTACCTTTCCTAAAGCCTCCTTGTTCATCTGCTATCCTATTCTCCGTCTTACTCTTAATTCTTTCAATTATAACTCTACCATACACTTTACCAGGTACACTCAACAGACTTATCCCCCTATAATTTTTGCACTCTCTTTTATCCCCTTTGCCTTTATACAAAGGAACTATGCATGCTCTCTGCCAATCCCTAGATACCTTACCCTCTTCCATACATTTATTAAATAATTGCACCAACCACTCCAAAACTATATCCCCACCTGCTTTTAACATTTCTATCTTTATCCCATCAATCCCGGCTGCCTTACCCCCTTTCATTTTACCTTGTCAGTTAAAAACAGAGTAGGGGAGTTAGTAGATGGGGAGATGGAGGTTATGGGTAGATGGCGAGAATATTTTGAGGAACTTTTAAATGTCGACGAAGAAAGGGAAGCGGTAATTTCATGCACTGGCCAGGGAGGTATACCATCTTTTAGGAGTGAAGAAGAACAGGATGTGAGTGTGGGGGAGGTGTGTGAGGCATTACGTATAATGAAAGGAGGTAAAGCAGCTGAAACTGACGGGATCATGACAGAAATGTTAAAAGCAGGGGGGGATACAGTGTTGGAGTGGTTGGTACTTTTGTTTAATAAATGTATGAAAGAGGGGAAGGTACCTAGGGATTGGCAGAGAGCATGTATAGTCCCTTTATATAAAGGGAAGGGGGACAAAAGAGATTGTAAAAATTATAGAGGAATAAGTTAACTGAGTTTACTAGGAAAAGTGTACGACTGAGAGTCGAAGATCAAAATGAATTTTTTATGAGAGAGCCACAAAATTTGATTAACACAAGCCTATCCGATGTTATCCTGACGCCAAATGACTTCGAACAGGCGATAAATGACATGCCCATGCACTCTGCCCCAGGGTCAGACTCATGGAACTCTGTGTTCATCAAGAACTGCAAGAAGCCCCTATCACGAGCCTTTTCCATCCTATGGAGAGGGAGCATGGACACGGGGGTCGTCCCTCAGTTACTAAAAACAACAGACATAGCCCCACTCCACAAAGGGGGCAGTAAAGCAACAGCAAAGAACTACAGACCAATAGCACTAACATCCCATATCATAAAAATCTTTGAAAGGGTCCTAAGAAGCAAGATCACCACCCATCTAGAAACCCATCAGTTACACAACCCAGGGCAACATGGGTTTAGAACAGGTCGCTCCTGTCTGTCTCAACTACTGGATCACTACGACAAGGTCCTAAATGCACTAGAAGACAAAAAGAATGCAGATGTAATATATACAGACTTTGCAAAAGCCTTCGACAAGTGTGACCATGGCGTAATAGCGCACAAAATGCGCGCTAAAGGAATAACAGGAAAAGTCGGTCGATGGATCTATAATTTCCTCACTAACAGAACACAGAGAGTAGTCGTCAACAGAGTAAAGTCCGAGGCAGCTACGGTGAAAAGCTCTGTTCCACAAGGCACAGTACTAGCTCCCATCTTGTTCCTCATCCTCATATCCGACATAGACAAGGATGTCAGCCACAGCACCGTGTCTTCCTTTGCAGATGACACCCGAATCTGCATGACAGTGTCTTCCATTGCAGACACTGCAAGGCTCCAGGCAGACATCAACCAAATCTTTCAGTGGGCTGCAGAAAACAATATGAAGTTCAACGATGAGAAATTTCAATTACTCAGATATGGTAAACATGAGGAAATTAAATCTTCATCAGAGTACAAAACAAATTCTGGCCACAAAATAGAGCGAAACACCAACGTCAAAGACCTGGGAGTGATTATGTCGGAGGATCTCACCTTCAAGGACCATAACATTGTATCAATCGCATCTGCTAGAAAAATGACAGGATGGATAATGAGAACCTTCAAAACTAGGGAGGCCAAGCCCATGATGACACTCTTCAGGTCACTTGTTCTATCTAGGCTGGAATATTGCTGCACTCTAACAGCACCTTTCAAGGCAGGTGAAATTGCCGACCTAGAAAATGTACAGAGAACTTTCACGGCGCGCATAATGGAGATAAAACACCTCAATTACTGGGAGCGCTTGAGGTTTCTAAACCTGTATTCCCTGGAACGCAGGAGGGAGAGATACATGATTATATACACCTGGAAAATCCTAGAGGGACTAGTACCGAACTTGCACACGAAAATCACTCACTACGAAAGCAAAAGACTTGGCAGACGATGCACCATCCCCCCAGTGAAAAGCAGGGGTGTCACTAGCACGTTAAGAGACCATACAATAAGTGTCAGGGGCCCGAGACTGTTCAACTGCCTCCCAGCACACATAAGGGGTATTACCAACAGACCCATGGCAGTCTTCAAGCTGGCACTGGACAAGCACCTAAAGTCAGTTCCTGATCAGCCGGGCTGTGGCTCGTACGTTGGTTTGCGTGCAGCCAGCAGCAACAGCCTGGTTGATCAGGCGCTGATCCACCAGGAGGCCTGGTCACAGACCGGGCCGCGGGGGCGTTGACCCCCGAAACTCTCTCCAGGTAAACTCCAGGTAGGGTTACAATTGAAAGAATTAGATGTAAGACAGAATGCAGGATTGCGGATGAGCAAGGAGGTTTCAGAGTGGGTAGGGGATGTGTAGATCAAGTGTTTACATTGAAGCATATATGTGAATAGTATTTAGATAAAGGTAGGGAAGTTTTTATTGCATTCATGGATTTAGAAAAGACATATGATAGAGTGGATTGGGGAGCAATGTGGCAGATGTTGCAAGTACATATATGGAATAGGTGGTAAGTTAATAAATGCTGTAAAGAGTTAGGCTCAGGTTAGGGTGTGTAGAAGAGAGGGAGACTGCTTCCCAGTAAAAGCAGGTCTTAGACAGGGATGTGTAATGTCACCATGGTTGTTTAATGTATTGATAGATGGGGTTGTAAAAGAAGTAAATGCTAGGGTGTTCGGGAGAGGGTTGGGATTAAATTATGGGGAATCAAATACAAAATGGGAATTGATACAGTTGCTTTTTGCTGATGATACTGTGCTTATGGGAGATTCTAAAGAAAAATTGCAAAGGTTAGTGAATGAATTTGGGAGTGTGTGTAAAGGTAGAAAGTTGAAAGTGAACATAGAAAAGAGTAAGGTGATGAGGGTATCAAATGATTTAGATAAAGAAAAACTGGATATCAAATTGGGGAGGAGTATGGAAGAAGTGAATGTTTTCAGATACTTGGGAGTTGACGTGTCGGCGGATGGATTTATGAAGGATGAGGTTAATCATAGAACTTATTGAGGTATATGTGGAGACAAAAAACATTATCTATGGAGGCAAAGAAGGGAATGTATGAAAGTATAGTAGTACCAACACTCTTACATGGGTGTGAAGCTTGGGTTGTGAATGCAGCAGCGAGGAGGCAGTTGGTGGCAGTGGAGATGTCCTGTCTAAGGGCAATGTGTGGTGTAAATATTATGCAGAAAATTTGGAATATGGAAATTAGGAGAAGGTGTGGAGTTAATAAAAGTATTAGTGAGAGGGCTGAAGAGCGGTTGTTGAGGTGGTTTGGTCATTTAGAAAGAATGGATCAAAGTAGAATGACATGGAGAGCATACAAATCTGTAGGGGAAGGAAGGCGGGGTAGAGGTCGTCCTCGAAAAGCTTGGAAGGAAGGGGTAAGGGAGGTTTTTTGGGCGAGGGGCTTGGACTTTAAGCAGGCGTGCAGGAGCGTGTTCATTAGGAGTGAATGGAGACAAATGGTATTTGGGACCCGATGATCTGTTGGAGTGTGAGCAGGGTAATATTTTGTGAAGGGATTCAGGGAAACCGGTTATTTTTATATTGCCGGACTTGAGTCTTGGAAATGGGAAGTACAATGCCTGCACTCTAAAGGAGGGGTTCGGGATATTAGCAGTTTGGAGGGATATATTATGTATCTTTATACGTATATGCTTCTAAACTGTTGTGTTCTGAGCACCTCTGCAAAAACAGTGATTATGTATGAGTGAGGTGAAAGTATTGAATGATGATGAAAGTATTTTCTTTTTGGGGATTTTCTTTCTTTTTGGATCACCCTGCCTCGGTGGGAGACGGCCAACTTGTTAAAAAAAAAAAAAGTACAGTACTTTATTCTTGTGAGAGTAAAACCAATATTTAGAGATTAAAGTGCTCATTTGCAAGATTTAGTACTTTATATTATTTTAAAGAGCTAAGATTCTACACTAGTTTCATCCTCCTGAAGGAGGAAAAGGCTCACTGAGGAAACAATGTATCATACTGCTGAGAAAAGCAGTCAGGACAGATGCCTATAGAAACATGTAATACAAAATAGAGGCAAGTAATATAAATGCAAACTAACCCTGATGCTGGAGATATATGGGAGGCTTGAACTCTGCAGGCTTGGAAAAATACTCAAGGCACCATCGGAACAACTCTGGGTGGGTCCCATCTGCTCCTGTTGGTCGATGGCAGTCAATCAATTGACACCTGAAGTTGAGACCTAAGTCAAACACATGTGACATGCATGTTTCTCATTGAATTAAACTTGTTCACTCCTAAATTAAAAATAGAATTCAAACATATTATACAGCCTCTTCTCACTTAGCAACGTCCTCGTTTACCGACCTCGGATTTATGACGGGCTCTCTGACCAGTATGCATACCTAAATAAGGTACGTATATTAGAACTGATTTCCTCTATTCTCTTTATTACAGTATACAGTTATTCACCGTATAAACATTTAAAAATATGCCAGAAATGTTATAAATGGTGCAAAGGTGACATTGAAACAATATCAAAGATGGTCGACACAAACCCACTACCATTATAGTGTGCTCCTCACTTCATGACAAATTCGTTTACAGATGTGGTCTTAGGAACAGAATTCCGTCGTTATGTGAGGAGAGGCTGTATGTATTTTTCTTTTTCAACACATCGGCAGTTTCCCACCGAGGCTATAATTCACTCCTAGTGTTTATTTAATTTCCTGGAACTTTGTTTACCATACACACTCCATCTATACAACAAGTGCTTTCAATATATAGAATTAATATACAAGTCAGCTTGACATATTAGCGTACCTGATTCTGAAAGACGAGAGTAATGTTACAACCTCAGTTGCTCCAATCCATTTCCTTGTGTTAGATAACTTGCCACCTAATTGCTCACATCCCTGTAAATACACAATTACAGAAGAATACAAAAAATGGAGTTGGATAATGTGAGACCAAGATACAGGACAGGGAGAGTGAAGAGATGAAATGAGAACATATATGATGAATAAAGAATTTACCAGTTAGTAAGTGGTCTGTGCACTTGACTTTCACTTTTTTCTCATATGCGATCACTGAAGCTCAGCATCACTTGATTTTTTTAACAATGACTGTTTAAATATTACTATACTGGTTTATATGCAGTGGAACCTTGGTAAACGACCAGCTCCCTACTCGAGCAAAGCTCAGCACTTGACCAAACAAATACGACCTGCCAGAACATCGCTGCAAACTATTTCGCATTTCTTCGCATTTTTCGGTGTTTTTCTTTTTTGTATTATTTGTATAAATAAGTCACCGTGGAACATACGAAAATTAGTGATAATAGCCAACCAAACAGAAAATTGGTTGGGAAGAACTTGTTTGATACTCAAACGGAACAGCACTAGAACAGCCTTCTGGAATGAATTAAGGTCGCATACCGAGGTTCCACTGTATTAACATTTATAAGACTTTATAGAAAGAAAACAGATTTGGGTGTGGTAAATCCAATGAGCATACCTAAAGAAAATCCTATTATACTAGTTTTTAATTTGAGTGTCTTGCATCAAGCCAAAGGAAAATGGACATCTGGCCAGAAGAAGTCGTGTTGACACAAAGTGTGGACTAGGGGTGGCTGGAGAGAGGGAAGGAGGGAGGGGGGGAAGTAACTGAGAGATAAGGATTCACAGGTTCATAATGTAATCACTCCAACCCAAAGAAAGGTTGGTTAATTGACAAGGGAGGCAGGTTACAAGAGAAGAGGATAAAAATTTAATTTTGAATAATTTTTTTCTCATTTATTTTTGGATCAACTGCATTTATTTTTTGCATATGACTGTTTAGGATGGTAGAATTCGAAAAGTCTCAGAAGAAATTCATATGCTTTACATATGACGTTTTGACATTATACTTTTTGCTCCATTGGCCACAAACGTATCTATTGCAAAATGTGAGAGACACCTATATCCTTAATCAGTTTAAAACATTTTTCCTACTCTCAGTATTACACATAAAACTAAGTTCAAAGTAATAAAGACTTACTTGTAGATCAAAGCCATTTCTCCATGCTTGCTCAATTAATTTCTGAATCTGAGAGATAGAAGGCATCAAGTTTGGTCCAGAAAAGAGTCGAGCATAGTAGCCTGTATGATGCTGAAGAGAACTTAACAGCATCTGTATATTTCTGGAAAATTTGAATTTGAATTTGAAAAGATTTGTACAGACATTAATAATGAAGTTTACATTAATTTATAGACTAGCTGGTGACAGTTAACCTTGCAAGCACAAGCAGGAGGTACAAGGAGGTAGCTCACCTGTTCTCCATTTGTTCTTAATCCACACACATGCATTTCTATTTTTTTCACATTTCTTCCCTTATGTTTTCATTGCCAAGGATAATCCTCCTCCTTTTCTGCACATTCTTGTTATCTAGCATATAACAGGGGCAGTTGCTTTTAGCAAATGCTACAGCTACTCCTTGAAGAGCCTTTGACACATAAAGGCATACATAATATCCTGGCAAGAATTTAACTGTAGCTATCTCCACAAGTATGAGAAGTTCTCAAGAGTGAAAAGTTAAAGATATAAATAGACTTGTTAGTGCAATAGGTATTGACAAATTAGGACTTTCAAATCTGAATTTATATTATCAATGAATGTTCATTAGATCAATGACTCAAAATACTAACATCTCTTTTTTTAATCCAAAGGCCATCTTCCATCGAGGTTGGGTGACAAAAAACGAGAAAATACACTCACAATCATTCATTCAATTGGTGTTTTGCCAGAAGTGCTGTGACATCATAACTCATATGACCCTTCAAGCTTCAACATCCTCACCCTTTCTTAAGAATGCAGGCACTATACTGCTCACCTTAAAAATGCAAGTCAGGCCAATCGGTTTCCTTGAATCCTTTCATAAATGTTACCTTACACTCAAACAGTATGTCAAGCCATAAAAACCACATGTCCCCATTCATTTTGATCTAAAGTGCTCAAAGAAGTCTGTTGGCACTCAAAACCTCCTTTACCCCCTCCCTCCACTCTACATATAAACATCCACATACATCGAATTCCTAGGTAGTAAGTTGATAGACAGCAACAACCCAGGGAGGTACGTACTACCGTCCTGCCAAGTGAGTGTAAAACGGAAGCCTGTAATTGTTTTACACGATGATAGAACTGCTGGTGTCTTTTTTTCTGTCTCGTAAACATGCAAGATTTCAGGTACGTCTTGCTACTTACAATTAGGTCACACTACACACGCATGTACAAGAATATATACACACCCCGTCCCTAGGTTTTCTTCTATTTTCTTACTAGTTCTTGTTCTTGTTTATTTCCTCTTATCTCCATGAGTTAGTGGAACAGAATTTTTCCTCCGTAAGCCATGCATGCTGGGAGCAAAGGGCTAGTAACCCCTTCTTCTGTATACATTACTGAAGTTAAAAAGAGAAACTTTTGTGTTTCTTTTTGGGCCCCCCTGCCTAGGTGGGACACGGCCAGTTTGTTGAAGAAGTAAAATATATTGAATTATCCTTGCTTGCTTGGATATCAAAACATGAACAGGCATAGTAAGCATACACACATACATAAATATTGTACAGTAGACCGTTATATTACATGGTAGTTACGTTCCTGAAAATGCCATGTTAGGTAAAATCCATGTTAGATAAACTGTAAAACTTATGGGATAAATAGGGTTACATTCCTGAGAGCCCCAAAAAGGCCAAGCAACTTTTTTTTTGACATCTAGCACTTACAAAAATAAAAGTGAATATGTAATTGTAGTTCATTGTCACAATGTATTATGTTGTTTTTACTGCTTATCATTACAAATGCAACAGAAATAATAGTATTTCTTGCCTTAAATTGTGGGTATTGGTGTTTGTGGATAATTGTGAAGAGTTATGCTGTGGCCCTACTGGGCTGAGGTGGATGGTAGTTCTTGTACTTAAGTCGATGGTTGTACTGGAGTGTGCATAAATCTGTAATGGATTTCTGTTCTACCTTACCCCGCAGTACATTATACAACTGATGGTAAGGCATCACGAAGGCTGGGATGGTGGTGGCAGGAGTGTTAGGGGTGGCAGGGGATAGCGGGAGGTCTCCCCTGCTGACACACAAGGTGGCAGCTTGAGCTGGGGAAATTTTTTCCTGCGCCCACAAATGGAACTGTGTAAAGTTAATTTTACGAAGTGTTGTATAAAATTGTGCAGCAATTTTTCAGTAATGCAATAACCAAAAAGTGGCAAATAAATCCATGTAATAAAATGGCCTACCGTACTTGCAAAATTTCTTCAGTACAGTTATGGTAAATATGCTCTGCAATCTTTTTTTTAAGGCAGGAACACCCTGTTTTTCACTTAAATGTTTTTTGCTTACACTGTTTACCACTTGCAACTAAAACTTTCTTTATATTTTTAGTAACTGAAAAAGAACAGGTTACTAGCCCCTTATCCTGGCATTTTAGTTGCTTTTTATAGCATCCATAGCTAATGGAGGAATTATTCTAGACCACTTCCCTATATAATTTACAGTAAAAACTACAAAGACAAGAATTATTAACCCTTTCAGGGTCCGTGCCGTAGATCTACAGCTTTACGTTGAGGGTCCAAACCGTAGATCTACCCCATGAGCTCAGCTCACTCTGATAAACTGTGAGCGGTAAATTTGGGCCTAGATATGAGAGAATACATCTGTGGTATGTGTGCACCACATAAATGAAATCCTGCAGCACACAGTGCATAAGAGAAAAAAAACGACTGTAATTTTCGATTAAAACAGCGACTTTGCAGTGTTTTTTCGTATGTTTTTTATAGTTGTATTTGCAATTTCTTGGTCTCATTTGATAGAATGGAAGATATATTACAAACATAAAGATGATTTTTATTGGTCTTAGTATTGAAAATTTCTTGAAACTGAGCTCAAAGTAGTGGAAATGTTAAATTTTTGCCGATACTCAAGAGTAAGCAAACGACCTCATACGTCTAATACACGCTAGCTGGTGGGTCTATTATACATTCACAAATGTGCTGATATTATTTATACAATTATTACAATATTGCATGACAGTAAATCTTTTAATTTTTGGTTTGAATAAAAATTTATTATGTGAATAAAAAATCAAAATGGAATTCATTTGTAAAGCCTGAACACATAATTAATGAACAGAGGAAATGCTAGTTTAGTGCCAGGAATGCCTGCACTGTTTATTCTGGACCCTATTTTGAAATTGGAATATTTTGAACTTTGCACTAAATTGGCCAAATTACCAATTTCCGATCACTTTATTTTGTAGTTGAAACAGTCGAGTTGGCAATTTCTTGTGCTCAATTGATAGAATAGAAGTAATACTAGTGAAATAGCTAAGAATTTGGTCGACTGATATAAGGTAATTGGCCTAAAATGGAAGTCAATATCAGCAAAATCGCTGATGTGTATATATCGCTGACACATCAAAATTCGTGAGAATAATTTCATCAATTTTTCATCAAATTTCATACTTCTTGTTTTATTACCTTCAGAAAAAGATTCTCTACCATTTCGTAAGAAAAAAAAAATTATTTTTTGAAAATTCTTGGACACCGGTGCACACTTTAAAATTTGGCCTCTGGACCCTGAAACTGTTAAGAATACAGAAGAAAACTAAGATGAGTGTGTATACATGCCCATTCACAAATATGTAATGTATACTGGATATAACCAGTTGTTGCAAGATTTACCTATCTTACATGTTCATAAAACAGAAAGAAAATCTTGGTAGGATATGGTTGATGCAGTAAGCATGTTTTTACTAGTTTCACACACCACCAGTGATTTATAGGAAATGCAGCAGAATCACAGTCATTTGTATGTATGGAATCTCTAATGTGTAATCCCTATCATGACTAGCATTCTATAATACAGTAACAATATACTGCAACACAATATGCCATAATCTCATAAATATATCATATATGTAAAGCAATGGAAAATCAATAGGAAGAATTCTTTATAGAATTTATAAATCAAACTGGACTGCAGGAGAATAGGTCTGTTGAGTATACCAGGTAAAGTATATGGAAGAGTTATTATTGAAAGAATTCAAGGTATGACAGTAAGAACACAAATGAACAAGATTTTAGAAAGGGTAGGGGATGTGCAGACTGAGTGTTTACACTGATGCGTAAAAGTGAACAATACTTATATAATGGTAAGGAAGTTTTTGTGACATTTATGGATTCAGAAAACGAATATGATAGGGTAGATGGGGAAAGCAATGTGGCAGATGTTGCAAGTGTATGGAATAGGTGGTAAGTTACTTAAAGCGGTTAAGAATCTTTATGAGGATAGTGAGGCTTAGGTTAGGGTATGTAAGAGAGAGAGGGAAATTCTTTTCCAGTAAAAGTGGGTCTTAGACAAGGATGTGTGATGTCACCATTGTTGTTGAACATATTTATAGATGGGATTGTAAAAGAAGTGAATGCTAGAGTGTTGGAGAGGTGTGGGATTAAAATATGAAGAATCTAATACAGATTGATTTTTACCAATGATACAGTGCTTTTTGGGGATTCTGAAGAAAAACTGCAAAGGTGGGTAGACAAATTTGGGAAGGTATGTGAAAGTAGGAAATTAAAAGTGAACACATAAAAGAGCAGGGTGATGAGATTAACAAAAAATTAGATAATGAATGATTGGAAGGAGGGAGTATGGAGGCAGTGAATGTGTTCAGATATTTGGGAGTGGACTTGTTGGCAGACAGGTCTATAAAAGATAAGCTGAACCATTGAATTAATGAGGGGAGAAATGTGGTTGGTGCACTGAAGTATCTTTGAAGACAAAGAACCTTATCCACAGAGGAGAGAAATGTACCACTCTTATATGTGTGTGAAGTACAGGTTTTAATAAAACATTGCAGCAAGGAAGAGATGTTATGCGAGAGGTTTGGACATCCAACAAGCATGTGCAAGAGTGTAAAGCAAATGGTTTTTATGACTTGACGTGCTCTTGGAGTATAAGCAGGGTAATTTGTGAAAGGATTCAGGGAAAACCAGGTAGCCAGACTTGAGTCCTGGAAGCACAGTGTCTGCACTGTGAAGAAGGCAGGATGAATAGTGCAGTTTGAAAGGGCATCTGCACTATAATGTTGGCACACCACTGGCAATATAATGAAAATGTTTCTTTTTTTTCGGGTCATCCTACCTTAGTGGGAGATGGCCGGTGTGGTAGAAATGATTATAATTATGAGGTGCTAAATGTGTAGGGATTATAAAGTGCCTGGGGAATGGGAGGTAAATAGGTTTGATTCAAGGAAAAGTTAACTCTGATTTCTAAGATCAAACACCCTTTACTGCATCCAGGCAATCCACTTGAAGAAGAATGAGCAGAAAATTATATGATACATTGAACTAAGTTTATAAAGCAAATTGTATGCTCACCTATAACCACAGCCCCAACCACGGTCACCATACGTGGAGCCATAATGATCAACCGTGGTACAAAGATATGTTCCTTTGACGATGCCACCTTCGCTGACTGCTCTAATAGGCCCCAGGAGACCTAAGACAAAGTAATCACACACCACTGATTTTGGTGTCCAACACATGTTTCTTTCATTATCATTAGATGTACAGTGTTACATCATTTTCTTATTTCCACATCAATCATATCATATACAGTATATCCAAGAACACATCTGTGCAAAATAGTAACCGGCAGTCATTAACATGGAGTGACAGTCAATATAAGGAAAATTCTGAAGAAATCAACTAAGTTACAAAAGATATAATCTTGATTGAAAATACTACAGAAAGTAGAGTATTTTCCTTAAGAATAAAAGTAAACATAAGTGCAATAACAAAGCAACACAGGCAAGTGACAAGTTGAGACTCAATCCCTTCGACCATAGATAGGCTAGTATGTACAGATGTTTGTGAATAAGGCATTTGGAGTTTCCACATCTTTTCTAATGAAGAAAAGAATAGCATGCATTAAAAGATGCCCTGCTGACATCTCTTTTCTACATGGGAATGCATATCTAAATGTAAGGCAAACACTAAAAATGTAGTAGCCCAAAATTACCTTTTGTACATGAGTGTCCATCATCAACACCATTCTTTTCAGCAACTTTTAACTCTATCTGTCTCTCATAATAATCTGCTACTGTCATTTCCCCTGCATAAACTGCTCTCTGCATGTTGCTCAGAGACTGTTGTGAGAAGTTGCCTTCATTATCCATGCCATACTGAGCCTACAGAGAACCACAAGAATCAACAACAAATTTACAGCTACAACTAATGTCTCTAATCTTGATGCAACTGTCATAGGTATATCACTTATTTAGGTGATGAGCGAGGCTTTAATATGCTAAAGAAAATCTACATGTGCTACAGACAAAATATTTTTTAGAGCTCTACCTAATCATCATAATAAAGTTTCTATCAAATTAATGGAAAAAGTTCTATCATTAACTATCCTTAGAGATTTTAAATATTAAAAAAAGGCTTCAAAACAAAAATTATACACAGTACATTCCTATTTATGATAAATTTGTAATTTCTCCAGAAAGAAACGAAGTGGAGAAAGATAATGAAGCCAAATATTATGATTAATATTGGAGACCTCAACATCATTCGCTGGTTAATATTGGAGGTTTTGAACATGTGTGGCTTGTTAATATTGCAGTCTGCATTTAAACATAAGTGGCTGATGAAGTGGTTAATACTGGAGAACCGATGATACTGAAAAGTGGAATCACCCATTAATAAACCATAAATTTATTACTTATGGTAGTACAGCATTAGTCCATTTCTTAACACAATACGTAGAGAGATTTTAAAATATGACTCCCTATCAACAACAAATTGATCCTCTAGTTCAGAGATTTTTCAAATGTTTTGAATCCATGGAACCATTATATGCATTAAGAAAATCACAAAACCTTGACAAATAAATAGGTTAAATTTTAATTATACAAGGGCAATAGAATAAAATAAAATTTGTGCTACTTTATGTAAACTGTATATGAAATTTACTTTACATATGATAACAAGACTGTAATAATTTGGTATTTTGTTTTTCTTTTAGCACTTGAGCATTCAAGAAATTCACAGGTGCTCTCGCAACAAAATATAAATGTAGCAATGATAATGAAGAACTGTGAGATAAGCTCTAGAAAAGAGATGCATTTTCAGAAAAGACTTGGAAGTATTAAGAGATACCTGATTTTTAATACACTAGCAACCTGCTGAACAATGTAGGAGCTACAAAAAAAAATGTTCTTTCTGCAATGATTGCTCTCCACCAGCATGAGGCTCACTCAATCTAAAAGGGTCTGTGGTAATTTGCAGAAACATCCCTAAACTCAATGTGACAACTACAAGCATATCAGTAAAATGCTTGGGTTTATTAAATTTAGTAACTTTAAATGTTAACAAACAAAGTTTAAATTCACTTCTTGCCATGACAAGGAGCCAATGCAGATCATACCAGTAAGGAGTAATGGGAACCCCAGTTGGAAGCAAAAATACCAGTTGAAGAATAAAAAACTATGAAGTTTTTCTTCTTTTTATATTTAGAAATTTATTCCAAAGAGGTTACTAGCCCCTTGCTCCCGGCATTTTAGTTGCCCTTCACAACACACATGGCTTATGGAGGAAAGAGTCTTTTTTACTTTCCCACTTGTGACACAATATACAACAACACACAAATTTGGAATCTCATATTACTGTATATGCATCTAGTCTCTCATTTTCAATTGTCTGAGATCTGCAGTGACCTACCCTAAGTAGAGAAAACTCTTGTTGTTCCCTCATGCGTTGAACTTCTTTTTCTTGTTTCTCTAAGTCTGTAACAAGACGTCTTTCCCATCCTCCATCATCTGGGGTTACTAGTAAAAGAAAAGATAGTTTATTTATTTACTGGCAATTTCTGTATCTTGATTTATGATTAACATGTTCAGGTGTATGACACGTTCAAGTCTAAGAGCAAAATACAAGGAAAATACAACTATCTATTAGTAGATAGATTTTTTATATAAACAGTGCTACCGTCAATTATATCACTTATTAATCCCCCCCCCAAAAAAAAAAGATCAGGAAATACAGTAGGGCCCCGCTTTATGGCATTTCGATTTACGGCATTCCGCTAATACGGACATTTCAAATTACGTATGACCAAAGCTCACTATACTGCTCCCCCACCTGACTGTCTAATACGGTCCCTGTGCCCTGCCCGGTTTGTTTACATTCTCTGTGAGCTCCATGAGCACAGCGTCTCTCCATTATGTCTGGAAGCTTTCCAAAACTTCAAGTGTTTTTAAAAGTTATTTCATATTTTATATATACGTACTCTGATAATTATACTTTTGTATACCTGTACCTACATAAACTTACACACTGTGCTGGCATGCAGATACACAATAAAATCAGCAATTGTGTGTTATGTCTCGAGATGCCATATTAATAATGAAAATAATAATACTTACTAATAATCAGTCTCGTTAAATGTCACATATTACGTTAATATAAACATTTTCATTAATCCATCTATGAAATTTTTTCAAAATTATATAATAAACATGACATGTAACATATAAACATGAAAAATACACCCCACAGTAGAATAAATTAACATAAATATAAGATGTGGTAGCCAGACAACTTGTAGGAGTGACGGTAAGAATAATGTTTCCTCTAGTCCAACATCAGAGAAAATGTGTACACTATAATATTACTCGGGGTAACTGTAAAAATTTTTTCCTTTCGTATGCCTTCACTCAGAGTGTCATTTCTTCAAAAAAATGGGGTTACATGAGAATGGAAGTGTTGTTCTTTATTTATTCTACTGTATCAACGTGGAAGCAACTTACACACAATGTAACTTGTACACAAACCAGACGTGTTCGCCTGGTTTGTTTACATAACTTCATGCCTGTCCTCTGTCATGTACTCATTCTCTCTCTCTCTCGTTTATTCGTTTTATCTCATTTACTCACCTCTGACCCTACATTAAGACTACAAATATTTTAAGGGAAGTAAAGAGTGAACTGTATATGCATTTTATCACTCTGGGATGCTTTAAATGTCATAGAATATTATGTGTGGGTGGGGTAGCCTGGTATGGTAGGTATAGTAGCCTGGCTGGCTACCATACATACCACACTTGATTTCTTACAATAACTATTACTCATCTCACCCTACATTAAGACTACAAATATTTTAAAGTAAGTAATGAGTGTACTATATGTGTATTTTACTTTTTTATTGTTTTTAATGCCTAGTTCTATTGCTAACTTAATGTATGTTAGTGTAAACTTGTTATCTGGCATTTATATGCATTTATAGTGGAAAATAAGGGTGTTCCACTTTATGGTGGTAGCCTGGAACCTATCCTACCATATAAGTGGGGCCCTACTGTATATACCATATTTTTAGTTCAACCTCAAGATTACTGTAGCCCATAATTCATATGCTGAGAGACAAATGGAAGTACAGTAAGCCTCAAAAAATTATATATTCCTCTATAAATTTTTGACTTACAAGGGGTTGAACGTGCAAAGGACAATCTACGTGATAAATATTTTTTGCAGTACGTATATGGTTAATTCTATTAGCATTTATACATTTAAAGGTCCTTCAAGGTTAGGTTAGATCCTGTACTTATTGTACAAGTTAAGGGCTGTTATCCAACCTCAGCCCATTTAAAAGCCTTCTCCTAGCAATACAGTATCTACATAACTGCTAGTCAAATTTTTTAATATTATTTAATACTGCATTAAAAAAGATACAGACAGAAAGCAAGTTGCTTTTCTAAGTAAAAGTGCCAAAGCCTGGACCACCTTTATACCTAGGTCCTGGTACACTGATATCTCATGTCCTTTCTCTCCCAAGCCCAGGTTGTGGATTACTTCTTCAAACATCTACAAAACTTACTAAAACTAAATAAAAAAAAAAAAATCCATGAATACCTACCAATGGATGATTTACGTGAGAAGTGGGTATCAATATGAGCAGCAAGGTCGTTATGTGAACCAAACCCAGCTCGACTACACACTGGACAAACACCAATATCACTATCTTCACTTTCCACAGGAGTTACAACATCAGACTGTTAAGACAATCACATGTGAGCAAAAACAATATAAGGATGACAGTACTGCATCTATAATTCAAAATGCATTTCAAGCCAAAACACAAAAATGAAACAAACACATGCACATCCATGCATACACAGGAACTCATTGCCTTTCTTGATGTACAGTTACTCACATACATTTTCCCCATACATGTGCACAACAAGAATGAATACATATACATGTGTAATTATATCTTTAAGAGATATCTGAGAAATTCATAAGCAATATGAATATTTATGTATCTTCTATCTCTCTCACATCTCATCAGTAATTTTTTCCCATAGAATTATCATAGTTTTTTATTTACTACAGTATGGCAGTGATCACTATGTAATATGGTAAATGAATTAGTAATTAGGAGATGACTGTCATGGGGAAAATAAATGGGGCAACTTTTACCCCATTAAGAGATGATTTCTAATGACAAACACTTGCATCACTTCCACTTGACACATGAATGATTGCCACTCTGTAGTCTGCATTATTTTCTCCAAAGCACATTACCGAGTTTACCAACATTTAATTTCTTACTTTTGGCCTAACCTGAACCTTTCAGTTTCTTCCTGTCTACTCTCTCACCTATGTGCCTGCTGAAGGAAACTCATTCTTTTCAAACATTCTTGTTTTCAGCAAAAGTACACCGCAATTGCTTACCTCATATATTGGATCACGAGAGTAAGGTTTCAAACTAAGTCACATAAGTTAGCATGAAACCTCCCTCTAGATTTAAGTGAATGTGTAATTATTCAGCCACTAGATGAATTTTAACACACTGCTAGAGAAACTACAGATCTTACTTGTTTATACCACACAAGCACTGAAATTTCTTGGAGAATGAGCACTCATGATATAAAAAATTTCAGAGACAGAAAGATTTCTGAGATCCCTTTAATGGTGAGATCTCAGGAAATAAAATAATTTCAGTAATATAGCTGAGAGTAATATTTTAATCTTTAAATACTATAGCTTAAAAGTGAAACTATGATTAAATGTATACAGCATTCTAAAACAGGGGACATAACAACTGCTTGAGAAAATAGAAAGTAAATTGTTCCGTCTTACAGAAAATATTAAGGAAGGGATGGCTTCATACTCCTATATACTGTATATTTTTGTATTATCTACTTGTAATCTTGAAACAAAAAAAAAAGTCTCTCTAAAAATAGAATGCATAGTGACTTTATACTTGGAAATGTCTTAGGGAAAAATGCTTAACCCTTTCACTGTCGCAACCCCCAATTTTAAAGTGCTGAGAGTCACAATTTTAAAAAAATAATAATAATATAATTATATTTTCTGAAATGGTAGAGAATCTTTTTGTGAAGACAATGACACCAAAAACTGGAAATTTGATGGAAAAACTTATAAATTACGCAAATGCAAAGTCGGCAGTCTGGGTGTAATTTATGCCTCAGTAATTTCACAAACTGTGAGTACAATTTTACACCAATCCCACTGATCAATTAAATCCAATTTCTAGTTATTTTGCTAGAAATAGCTAGAATGCCAGAAAGCTAGTGTGTCTTTCATTCTATCGACTGAGCAAGGAAACTGCCCATTCAACTATCGGAACTAATCTATAATGTGCACAAATGTGTGAATATAATAAAAATGGTATGTAATACTGACAAGTTGATATGATAGCTAACTGTTGTACACATGTGTCTTACTTATCATTGTGCACAGTCATTGATAATTTGACCAATACAGCCTCTCCTCACTTAACGACGGAGTTCCGTTCCTAATACCGTGTCGATAAACAAATTCGTCGCTAAACGAGGAACATACTATAATGGTAGTGGGTTTATGTCAACCATCTTTGATATTGCTAAACCCTTTCAGGGTCCAAGGCCAAAATCTGAAGTGGTGTCCCAGTGTCCAAGAATTTTCAAAAAATATTTTTTTTTATTTTTTCTTATGAAATGGGAGAGAATCTTTTTGTGAAGGTAATAAAACAAAAAGTACGAAATTTGATGGAAAATTGACGAAATTATGCTCTCACGAATTTTGATGTGTCAGCAATATTTACGAATCGACGATTTTGCCGACTTTGACTCCCATTTTAGGCCAATTACATTATTCCAGTCAACCAAATTCTTAGCTATTTCACTAGTATTACTTCTATTCTATCGATTGAGCACAAGAAATCGCCAAGTCAACTGTTTCAACTACAAAATAAAGTGATCGGAAATTGGTAATTTGGCCAATTTAACACAAAGTTCAAAATATTCCAATTTCAAAATAGGGCCCAGAATAAACATTGTAGGTATTTCTGGCACTAAACTAACATTTCCTCTGTTCATTAGTTACATTTTGAGGCTTTACAAATAAATTCCATTTTGATTTTTTTATTCACATAATGAATTTTTATTCGCACCAAAAAATAGAAGATTTACTGTTATGCAATATTGCAATAATTGTATAAATATCATCACCATATTTGTGAATGTATATTAGACCCACCAGCTGGCATGTATTAGATGTGTGAGGTCGTTTGTTTACTCTTGAACATCAGCAAAAATTTAACATTTCCGCTAATTTGAGCTCAGTTTCAAGCCATTTCCAGTGCTAAAACCAATCAAAATCATCTCTATTTCTGTAATATGTCTTCCATTCTATCAAATGAGACCAAGAAATCGCAAATACATCTATAAAATCATACGAAAAAACACTGCAAAATCGCTGTTTTAATCGAAAATCACGGTCTCAGTTTTTTCTCTCATTATACACAGTGTGCTGCAGGATTTGTTTTATGTCGTGCACACATACCACATAGGTGTATTCTCTCATATCTAGGCCCAAATTTACCACTCATAGTTTATCAGAGTGAGCTGAGCTCATGGCGTAGATCTACAGTTTGGACCCTGAACGTAAAGCCGTAGATCTACGGGACGGACCCTGAAAGGGTTAATGTCACCCTTGCACCATTTAAAACATTTTTAATATATTTTTAAATGTTTATACAGTAGTGTACTGTATATTGTAATAAACAGAATAGAGGAAATAAGCTCTAATATACATTATTTAGGTATGTATATACTGGTCAGAGAGCCCGTCGTAAGTCCGAGTCATCGCTAAGTGAGGAGAGGCTATATTATCACAAAACTAAAAAGTTACAATTTAAAAATGGAGTCCAAAGTAAACACTGCAGGTATTCCAGAAACTAAAGCAACCTTCCGCTGTTCATTAATCAGATCTCCAGGCCTCTCCTAAATAACATTTGCCCCCCCCCATTTTGAAATCACAAAAAATTGTATTACCCTATTTCTCAGATAAATGAATATAATGAAGAATGAGTGGTCAAGGTTTAGGTCATCCCAGTAATTGAAGCAGACCTAGCAAAAACCCATAAGACACACAGGGGGCCGAGGGCCCCCTACCCATCCTCAAGAATAGGCAAAGTTAAAATATTTGTCACTTTGAGCCTTATTTCAAACTATTTCAGTCTTAAACTGACCAAAATTATCTCTATTTCAACAGTATGTCTTCCATTCTATTTAATGATACTAAGAAACAGCCAATAAAAACAAAATCTACCACACAAAAGTTCAGAGGTTTGTTCTTCCCATCAAGCACTGGGTAGGGCAATTTTTTTTTTTTAATCTGTGCACACACTCAGCAGAGACCCAGTCTCTCATGTCTAGACCAAAATTTATGTCTGAGGGAATTGAGCTCAAAATGTAGATCTACTGGAGCAACACTGGCATCAACGATGTACATCTATGTGGGAGACAGTGAATGGGTTAAAGGCACTAGAGAACATGAATCATGTAGTCTCAAGAAAAAATCAATAAAAGGGTTAATTTACACATGCAACTTTACAGGATCTACTGAAGCATATGAATGATTAAATGAGGTGTCACACTTATTACCTTTGCAGGACTCAGGATGTCTTTATGCTCAATGTTGACATGTAGCTCAAGATCTGGACTACATTCAAACTGTTTCATGCATACAGGGCAAGTAAAGATGACTTCTTCTTGAGGAGTAACAGCTGGGAACGAAGGAGACATCAAGTCAAAATGTGCTCGATTGACGTGCTCTTCCAATTTGGCTGGCGAAGGTTCCTTCATTCCACATATTGGACACAATGTTACCCTGGCATCTAACAGGGGACTACGCACACAAGGACTCATTAATCTGTCCCGTCTATCAAGCTGATTAAGATTAAGTGACAGTTGGGCACGATCTGGTGAGCCCTGGTTACTGTTTTCCCCACCCTTACTATGAGAGGGACTTAGGTTAGCATTGTAATTATCATTATCATTTTCTACAGTAATCACAGGCACATGATTGTCCAAGACTTTATTATTCACTAGTGCTTTTCTTAATGGGCTAGCAATTAAAATGTGGTCACCAAAACCATTTGTCACAATTAAAGTATCGTCAAAAGTTTCATCTTGTGGACTCAAATAGTCCAAATGGGCAGAATTAACATGATGAACCATTTCTTCAGGGCTTATATCTCCTAGATCACAGAAAGGGCATGATGTTGTCCCCTCTATATGAGCAAACAACATGTGGGACCGTAAGTCATCATCAGTGAGTCCATCCAACCCGCACACTTCACAAGAATATAGTGCCTCTGGCATTTTGGCAGCCATGATGAGAATCCACTTCTTGTATTCACAGTACTGAAATAAGTGAAATAATAAATAAATGGCAAACCAAAAATATTCCTGTACACTACAGATACATCTAATATGTATAAAATTTTTTTTTTAACCCTTTCAAGGTCCACAGGCCCTCTCCAAGACATGTTCTCAGGGTCCCTCAAATTTCAAAAAAAAAAAAATTATTTTTTCTTATGAAAAGATAGAGAATCTCTTCCCGATCATAATGACACCAAAAGTATGAAATTTGATGGAAAACTTACAGAATTATGCTCTCGCGAAGTTAGCAGTCTCGACGATGTTTACGCATCGGCGATTTTGCCCACTTTGAGCCCTATTTTCGGCCAATTCCAGTGTACTAGTCGACAAAAATCATAACTATTTAGCTAGAACTCCATTTTTTCTATCGAATGAGTACACAAAACCATCCATTTACTGATTTCAACTATCCAATACAGTGGTCAGAATTTAGCAATTTTGCCAATCTCACACAAATTTCAAAAGATGCCAATTTCTGAATAGGGCCCAGAATAAACAAGAAAGACATTCCTGGCACCAACATAACATTTCCTCTGTTCATTAGTCATGTCCCCATGCCCCTCTTACATTCTTTTGTTTTTCACTTTGAATTTTTATTCTCACAAAAAATAGAAGATTTACTGTTATGCAGACTACTGCATTAGTATAGAAATGGTATAAATAATATCAGCGCACTTGTGAAAGAATATTAGACTCACCAGTTGACGTGTATTGGACGCATAGCATGATTTGTTTACTTTTGAACTTTGGTAAAAATCGAACATTTCTGCTACTTTGAGTTCAATTTCATGGTGCGTTTCATTGTAAAACCAGTCAAAATCATCTCAATTTCTGTAATATGTCTTCCATTCTATAAAATGAGACCATTCTATAAAATGAGACAATAAATAGCATACGAAGATACAGTGCAAAGCCGCTGTTTTAATCCAAAAACACGGTCAAAGTTTTTTTTTTCTCATTACACACTGTGTGCTGCAGGATTTTTTTTATACTGCACACTCTGATCACATAGACCCATTCTTTCATATGTAGGCCTACCAGCTTTCTCTCACTAGATTTGAGGGCACTAGAATTTAGACATACTAGTACGTCATGGACACTGGTGCGTAAGCCAAACTAGTACGGCCGAAACCCTGAAAGGGTTAACAAACTGGCCACTCTCACCAAGGCAGGGTGATCCAATAAAAAAGAAACATTTCCACCATCATTCACTCCATCACTGTCTTGCCAGAGGGGTGCTGATGTTACATTTCAAATCTGCAGATAAAAAGGCAGTAATATGCCTTGAAGTTTGTGCCATCTCTTGCCCTCTATATTCTGTACTATATACACTACATTAAATATTTGAAACACTTAAACCTAGTTTTATTGTACGTACAGTATTACAAAACTACAGCAGAAACAATTAAAAATTTTAAATTATCTTCTTGGATATTACCAATATTTTTTTAATCACTGTTCTCCACTTAAATAAATGGCAGCTTTAGGAAGAATGAAAAAGCACAATACCATAACTGGAACAATACACAAACAACCCGCACATAGGAGACTGAAACTTATAACATTTTAGTCCGACATGGACCATTAACTGGTTACCAGTTAATGGTCCAAGTCAGTCTGAAACGTCATAATAAGTTTCAGTCTCCTATTTTTTTTATTATTAACACACTGGCCGATTCCCATCAAGGCAGGGTGGCCCGAAAAAGAAACACTTTCACCATCATTCACTCCATCACTGTCTTGCCAGAAGGGTGCTTTACACTACAGTTTTTAAACTGCAACATTAACACCCCTCCTTCAGAGTGCAGGCACTGTACTTCCCATCTCCAGGACTCAAGTCCGGCCTGCCGGTTTCCCTGAATCCCTTCATAAATGTTACTTTATTCACACTCCAACAGCACGTCAAGTATTAAAAACCATTTGTCTCCATTCACTCCTATCAAACACGCTCACGCATGCCCGCTGTAAGTCCAAGCCCCTCGCACACAAAACCTCCTTTACCCCCTCCCTCCAACCTTTCCTAGGCTGACCCCTACCCCGCCTTCCTTCCACTACAGACTGATACACTCTTGAAGTCATTCTGTTTCGCTCCATTCTCTCTACATGTCCGAACCACCCTCAACAACCCTTCCTCAGCCCTCTGGACAACAGTTTTGGCAATCCCGCACCTCCTCCTAACTTCCAAACTACGAATTCTCTGCATTATATTCACACCACACATTGCCCTCAGACATGACATCTCCACTGCCTCCAGCCTTCTCCTCGCTGCAACATTCATCACCCATGCTTCATACCCATATAAGAGTGTTGGTAAAACTATACTCTCATACATTCCCCTCTTTGCCTCCAAGGACAAAGTTCTTTGTCTCCACAGACTCCTAAGTGCACCGCTCACCCTTTTCCCCTCATCAATTCTATGATTCACCTCACCTTTAATAGACCCATCCGCTGACACGTCCACTCCCAAATATCTGAATACATTCACCTCCTCCATACTCTCTCCCTCCAATCTGATATCCAATCTTTCATCACCTAATCTTTTTGTTATCCTCATAACCTTACTCTTTCCTGTATTCACTTTTAATTTTCTTCTTTTGCATACCCTACCAAGTTCATCCACCAACCTCTGAAACTTCTCTTCAGAATCTCCCAAGAGCACAATGTCATCAGCAAAGAGCAATTGTGTCAACTCCCACTTTATGTGTGATTCTTTATCTTTTAACTCCATGCCTCTTGCCAAGACCCTCGCATTTACTTCTCTTACAACCCCATCTATAAATATATTAAACAACCACGGTGACATCACACATCCTTGTCTAAGGCCTACTTTTACTGGGAAATAATCTCCCTCTTTCCTACATACTCTAACTTGAGCCTCACTATCCTCGTAAAAACTCTCCACTGCTTTCAGTAACCTACCTCCTACACCATACACCTGCAACATCTGCCACATTGCCCCCCTATCCACCCTGTCATACGCCTTTTCCAAATCCATAAATGTCACAAAAATCTCTTTAGCCTTATCTAAATACTGTTCACTTATATGTTTCACTGTAAACACCTGGTCCACACACCCCTTACCTTTCCTAAAGCCTCCTTGTTCATCTGCTATCCTATTCTCCGTCTTACTCTTAATTCTTTCAATAATAACTCGACCATACACTTTACCAGGTATACTCAACAGACTTATCCCCCTATAATTTTTGCACTCTCTTTTGTCCCCTTTGCCTTTATACAAAGGAACTACGCATGCTCTCTGCCAATCCCTAGGTACCTTACCCTCTTCCATACATTTATTAAATAATTGTACCAACCACTCCAAAACTATATCCCCACCTGCTTTTAACTTTTCTATCTTTATCCCATCAATCCCAGCTGCCTTACCCCCTTTCATTTTACCTACTGCCTCATGAACTTCCCCCACACTCACAACTGGCTCTTCCTCACTCCTACAAGATGTTATTCCTCCTTGCCCTATACACGAAATCACAGCTTCCCTATCTTCATCAACATTTAACAATTCCTCAAAATATTCCTTCCATTTTCCCAATACCTCTAACTCTCCATTTAATAACTCTCCTCTCCTATTTTTAACTGACAAATCCATTTGTTCTCTAGGCTTCCTTAACTTGTTAATCTCACTCCTAAACTTTTTCTCATTTTCAATAAAATTTGTTGATAACATCTCACCCACTCTCTCATTTGCTCTCTTTTTACATTGCTTCACCACTCTCTAAACCTCTCTCTTTTTCTCCGTATACTCTTCCCTCCTTGCATCACTTCTACTTTGTAAAAACTTCTCATATGCTAACTTTTTCTCATTTACTACTCTCTTTACATCATCATTCTACCAATCACTCCTCTTCCCTCCTGCACCCACTTTCCTGTAACCACAAACTTCTGCTGAACACTCTAACACTACACTTTTAAACCTACCCCATAACTCTTCGACCCCATTGCCCATGCTCTCATTAGCCCATCTATCCTCCAATAGCTGTTTATATCTTACCCTAACTGCCTCCTCTTTTAGTTTATAAACCTTCACCTCTCTCTTCCCTGATGCTTCTATTCTCCTTGTATCCCATCTACCTTTTACTCTCAGTGTAGCTACAACTAAAAAGTGATCTGATATATCTGTGGCCCCTCTATAAACATGTACATCCTGAAGTCTACTCAACAGTCTTTTATCTACCAATACATAATCCAACAAACTACTGTCATTTCGCCCTACATCATATCTTGTATACTTAACATCTCCCAAAATCTCTCTCTCTCCTCTACATTCCTCTCTTCTCCAGGTGCATACACGCTTATTATGACCCACTCTTCACATCCAACCTTTACTTTAATCCACATAATCCTTGAATTTACACATTCATATTCTCTTTTCTCCTTCCATAACTGATCCTTCAACATTATTGCTAACCCTTCCTACCCCGTCATAATAAGTTTCAGTCTCCTATGTGTGAGATATATGTAATGTCAGCTGCAGATTTGCTCATAATGTTGTGTGCAGTATGGGCGCTGCAAAACACAGTACATACATCTATTAATTTTAGCCTTATTTTATCCAACCGTTTTTTTTTTTTTTTGGATTAAAAAGCCGACTTTGAGGTGTATTTTCATATAGTATTTATTGTTGTATTCTCGTTTTCATGGTCTCAGGTGATAAAATGGAAAACACATTACAGAAATAAAGATGATTGTGATTAGTTTCATGATGAAAACGACCTTGAAACTGAGCTCAAAATAATGGAAATGTTCCATTTTTATCAATGTTCAAGAGTAAGCAAATCACACTACACGTCCAATACACGTCAACTGGGGAGTCTAATATTCTGCACTAGTGCACTGATATTTATATCATTTTTACAATAATGCAGTAGTCTGCATAACAGTAAATCTTCTATTTTTTGTAAGAATAAAAATCAAAATAGAAAGCAATAGTAATATAAGAGGGGCCTAGAGACATGACTAATGAACAGAGGATATGTTATTTTAGTGCCAAGAATGTCTACACTGTTTATTCTGGACCCTATTTTGAAATTGACATCTTTTTTAATTTGCATGAAATTGGCCAAATTGCCAATTTCTGACCACTTTATTGGGTAATTCAAATCGGTAAATGGGCGATTTTTTGTACTCAATTGATAGAAAAAATGGAGTTCTGAAGAAATAGCTATGAGTTTGGTCAACTAGAACAACACAATTCACCAAAAATGGGGCTCAAAGTCGGCAAAATCGCCGATGCGTATATGTCACTGAGACCGCTAACTTCGCGGGAGCGTAATTTCGTGAGTTTTCGACCAAATTTCGTACTTTTGGTGTCATTACCATCGGGAAAAGATTTTCTATCACTTCAAAGGAAAAACATAGAATGACAGTTTCAGAAAGGGGCTTGTGACAGTCAAAGGGTTAATGGAGGAAGAATGAATAATTGAGGTAGAAATTAATGTATAGAGGAAAAAATTATCATTTAAGAAATTTCCATAGAGTACACTGAACAGACAGTTCAAGTTTTAAGCTAAAAGATAATAAGACTATGAGGAGGGAATATGCTAGTTAGGGAAAGTATGGTGTTAGGATATGCTGTTAATGGTTTTTAGAACTGGGCACACTTAGGTTTGATATATGAGGTCCAATGTTCCTTAAGAAGTTTTTTTAAATTTAGCAAGAACACATAAAGCTTTCGTTCCAACTGGTAAGTCATTTAGTGTTTTAAATAAAGTTTCTTTGCATTTGGTTTCTACACAGGTCAAGTCTCACATGAGGTACATCAAAGACTTTAAAGATGCCTTGTGTTATGTTCACAAATTCTGTTGAAGCTCACATACAGCCTCAAGTTAGGGTTAGAAATACAGTTTAAGTTAAGCAGTGTATAAAGTTGCTAATTTTATCAGTATAACAACTGGTATGTAAGGTGTGGATAGATCATGAAGAGATATAGGATTGGTAAACTAAAACTTGGGAAACAGTGGTTTATTTTTTAAATGTACAGAATATACTTATTGATTTTGAAATTTTTAGATACGTAGGGGATGTGGATTTTTATTTATTTTTTAACCTATGTATGGGTCTAAATGTATTGTACTGTACAAGTATTTGCATTTTTCTTTAACTCTTAAACTGTCCACATGTAGATCTACATTCACTCGCGTAGTGCTCCGTACTTAGATCTACATTTCATTTTACACTTAAAGGCATGTAAAATAAAACGTAGATCTACGTTTGGAGAGCTACGCGAGTGACCGTAGATATACGTTTGGACAGTTTAAGGGTTAATTGGTTGTCATATACTGTACAGTTTATAAACTCAGCTTGATTAGATGATTTTGTTTCCAAATAATGTGGATTTATGTGCATTATACAAATACAAGTAAAGGCAGAACTCAATGAATGTTCCATAGGTGCAATGTCTCTTTGAATGTGCCAGAGATGCATTTAAAGCAAAATAATATATAAAAGTCTCTTACTAAATGTTTCACAGGTGCATTACCTGAATGCAAGAGGGAACAGATTTTACTGAATGATTACAGATAAAATAGGCTACTCAAACTCTGGAGAACAACTTACACTGAATGTCTCACAGGTGCACTATCAAACTCAAGGAAGGACAGGTCACACTGAATGTTCCACAGGTGCACCATGAAACTCAAAGGAGAACAGCTCACACAGTGTTTCACAGGTACACTTTCAAACTTACACTGAAAGTGCTAGAGATGTACTGCCTGAATCTATGAGACAACAGCTCTAACTGAATGTCACAGAAGCTCTATAAAAAAGATGGCTCACTTTATGTTTCTTGGGTGTTTTACCCCAGCACAATAAAGGACAGTTCTCGTATATTCCACCAACTGAATGTTGCAGAGGTTTATTCTGCACCAGATACATCAAGTTCGGTTGTGTTTATACATCCATACCTTGAGCAATAAGTTACCAAACAGTTAAATCTTGAGGTAAATATCAACACTTTAATGATGTAGCTCCTTCATAGAAGGCTAAATATGTGGTGAAAAAAAAAAGGATATGAAACTTAGATGTGGTACATACCTGAGGAAGGTTGCAAGAAGCTAGAGTTACATAGTGTGAGGTCACTGACTCCCACAAAACTTGACATACAAGTAGGTGCTGGAAACAAGAACCACTCAAGGGCTTACATAACACACTTTGCCTCTACATGTTTTCATACGACTTTTCTTTTAATTATTACGAGCTGTTACTTCCCAGAAGTAATAAATTGTATAAATGTATTAGTATATTTGTAAAAAATATAATAACTGAAAAATATTGTAGAAGACTTAGAAAAAAAATAAAAGAGGAGCTGAATAATGGCATTTACTGCAGATAAATGCCAAACTAAAATGAAAATGGGTAGAAGTATAAATAGTTCTCATGAAGAATATAGACCAAGTTACAAAGAATTCAAAACATTAATAAAGATTTTGAAGTGAGTAAAGTAAAGAATTTCACCAGTACTTTTTATATATATTATGCATTAATAAGGAAATCTTATGCAAAGATGCAAATTTCAAGAAAAATCTATTATATTAATGAAGATATATTGTAAAAAAATCTTCACAAAATAGAAACCTTAATTTGTATATGTGACTGTAATATGGTATTTACTTTAAAAACACAGAGAAAATAATATACTCCAACAGGTACATATTGTGTACCACAACACTAAGAAATTTTCCAAATACAGTATTGTATAAATTAAGTGAAGATGAAAAACCATTTTAGGAAAACATCCTGTAATACCATTTACAGTATGGTAGTACACTGTATATTTTTAGAGATGCTACTAGTAGTTGTGTTATATACTGTACGTGTGCAATGTATTTTTATGAGCTATTATTAAGTACTGTATTACTCTTAGTTTAAGTCTATTTAAAGGATGAAAATAAGAGTGTAAGAATGAAGGAACACTACAACAGGCCTATGGGCCAGTACTAGGGAAGTCCAACTTGTACCTAGCTACACCCAATGATGAACCTGTCCAACCAATATTTAAAGCTATTAAAGTTCTTGCCTCAGTGGCTCTACTTGGGAGTTTGTTCCACTCATCTGCAACTTTTGCCAAATTAGTATTTCCTTATACCCTTCCTAAATCTTAATGTCTAATTTGAATCCATTACTATGAATCCTGTCATAGATACTTTCACCACTTTACTGACACCCCTTCATTTATTCCTGCTTTCCATTTACACACTTCAGACATATTCCACCCCAAATTCCACATCTTTCCAGAGTGCAGATTCAGTGACTAGATGATATTGTTGGAATTATTAAAAAGAGAGTTAGTAACCATGGTAAACTCAATAAAGTTACTGTCATCAGAATGACCGACTTTTTAGCATGGGGGCAGTTTAATCCTCTCCCCCAGGATGTGATCCACACCGACTAACACCCAGGTACCTACTTACTGCTAGGTGAACAGGGACAGCAGGTGCAAAGAAACATACTCAAGCATTTCCACTTATCCATGGAAACCCTTTTCTTCACTGTGAGAATTACCAGTTCATACTTTACACTGTTTTATGAACCTTTCAGCAATATTTTCCAAGTAACAAGAATGACACAATATCTGGCACCAGGTGCACCATAAGTAATTATATTTAGGCAGAGGTACACATAGGCACAATTATCATACATAGTATAAATTACCTAGGATAACCCAAAAAAGTAAGACAAATTGGGGTCTTCTCTCTATTACAAACTCACACAGTATTATTCAAAATGTAATATTTTTTTTAATGAAATATATTGATTGTCATTATTAATAATTTCTAGATCTACCTTTCTGTGGTATTTATGTTAGGAATCACAGCATCAATATTAGTTGGTAAATGTCAGGAGTGACGTGATGAAGGTTACCTGGACTACACTACAATGTACTCCAACAAGACATTATATGTCAACCCTTGATACTAGTGACCAGCCAGACAGTAATGCCAGGCAGAGCTGTCAATATAAGTGGCACCGGCAGGCTGACAGTGGCACTGCAGAAGCAGCAGTGTGCATGCCAGACACTTAAGTAAGATTATTCAGGTACACATAACTATAGTTACACAAATTATCATACATATTAGCATACGTGTAAATCACCCAGGATAACCCCCAAAAAAAAGATCAGACAAAGTGACTTATTTCCACTGGAGGGGAGAGGGAGGGGGAGTGCCAGTGGTGCCACTTCCCCCCTACCCCATGGAGAGGGGGGCATGGGGGGTGCCGAGTGGCACTGCCGTCCCTGCCAGTGCCATCGCACTTACCCTCGCCGCCAGTGCCAGCTCCGCCGCCTCCACCGCCAAAAACCTTCTCAAAACCCTCGACAACAGGCGGCACTTCCTCCTCCATTGATTTTTGCCCCGCCATCAGCTGTTTTGAAACTTCCCATTTTCTGCTGAGCCAGGTTTTTCTGGGTTGTGATTGGCTCTGACCTGCCAAAAGCAGCCAATCATAACCCAGCTACACCCAGTGACATCACACCAGCTTGGCGCCAAAATGTGTAGTAAAATATTGTAAACAATGAGAAGTGTTGGGCTGCTGGCAGTGTCTAGAGGACAGTGACACCTTGTTGGCAGTGCCTGGAGGACAGTGACACCTTGTTGTTGCTGCTGGCAGTGTCTGGAGGACAGTGACACCTTGTTGTTACTGCTGGCAGTGTCTGGAGGACAGTGACACCTTGTTGTTGCTGCTGGCAGTGTCTGGAGGACAGTGACACCTTGTTGGCAGTGCCTGGAGGACAGTGACACCTTGTTGGCAGTGCCTGGAGGACAGTGACACCTTGTTGGCAGTGTCTGGAGGACAGTGACACCTTGTTGGCAGTGCCTGGAAGACAGTGAACCCTTGTTGCTGCTGGCAGTGTCTGGAGGACAGTGACACCTTGTTGCTGCTGGCAGTCTGGAGGACAGTGACACCTTGTTGGCAGTGCCCGGAGGACAGTGACACCTTGTTGTTGCTGCTGGCAGTGTCTGGAGGACAGTGACACCTTGTTGGCAGTGTCTGGAGGACAGTGACACCTTGTTGGCAGTGTCTGGAGGACAGTGGGCCCCCTTGGTTGGCAGTGTCTGGAGGAAGTGACACCTTGTTGGCAGTGTCTGGAGGACAGTGACACCTTGTTGGCAGTGTTGGAGGACAGTGACCACTTGTTGTTTGCTGATTTGGGAGTTGTCTGGAGGGACAGTGACACCTTGTTGGCAGTGTCTGGAGGACAGTGACACCTTGTTGGCAGTGTCTGGAGGACAGTGACACCTTGTTGGCAGTGTCTGGAGGACAGTGACACCTTGTTGGCAGTGTCTGGAGGACAGTGACACCTTGTTGGCAGTGTCTGGAGGACGTGGACACCCCTTTTTGGCAGTGTCGGAGGACAGTGACACCTTTTTTGGCAGTGTCTGGAGGACAGTGACACCTTGTTGGCGTGTTGGGGGGGGGAGGACAGTGACACCTTGTTGGCAGTGTCTGGAGGACAGTGACACCTTGTTGGCAGTGTCTGGAGGACAGTGACACCTTGTTGGCAGTGTCTGGAGGACAGTGACACCTTGTTGGCAGTGTCTGGAGGACAGTGACACCTTGTTGGCAGTGTCTGGAGGACAGTGACACCTTGTTGTTGCTGCTGGCAGTGTCTGGAGGACAGTGACACCTTGTTGGCAGTCTGGAGGACAGTGACACCTTGTTGGCCCGTGTCTGGAGGACCCGTGACACCCTTTTTGGCAGTGTCTGGAGGGACAGTGGGCACCTTGCTGGCAGTGTCTGGAGGACAGTGACACCTTGTGGCAGTGTCGGAGGACAGTGGACACCTTGCTGGCCCGTGTCTGGAGGACAGTGACACCTTGCTGGCAGTGTCTGGGGGGACAGTGACACCTTGTGGCAGTGTTCTGGAGGACAGTGACACCTTGTGGCAGTGTCTGGAGGACAGTGAACCTTGCTGGCAGTGTCTGGAGGACAGTGGACCCTTTGTGGCAGTGTCTGGAGGACAGTGACACCTTCTGGCAGTGTCTGGGAGGACAGTGACACCTTGTTGGCAGTGTCTGGAGGACAGTGACACCTTGCTGGCAGTGTCTGGAGGACAGTGACACCTTGCTGGCAGTGTCTGGAGGACAGTGTCACCTTGCTGGGTGTTGGAGGACGGGTTTACACCTTGCTGGCAGTGTCTGGAGGACGGTGACACCTTGCTGGCAGTGTCTGGAGGACGGTTTGACACCTTGCTGGGAGTGGTCTGGAGGACGGTGGGCCCTTGCTGGCAGTTGTCTGGAGGACGGTGACACCTTTGTGGGAGTGTCTGGAGGACGGTGACACCTTGCTGGCAGTTTTTGGAGGACGGTGACACCTCGCTGGCAGTGTCTGGAGGACGGTGACACCTTGCTGGCAGTGTCTGGAGGACGGTGACACCTCGCTGGCAGTGTCTGGAGGACGGTGACACCTCGCTGGCAGTGTCTGGAGGACGGTGACACCTTGCTGGCAGTGTCTGGAGGACGGTGACACCTTGCTGGCAGTGTCTGGAGGACGGTGACACCTTGCTGGCAGTGTCTGGAGGACGGTGACACCTTGCTGGCAGTGTCTGGAGGACGGTGACACCTTGCTGGCAGTGTCTGGAGGACGGTGACACCTTGCTGGCAGTGTCTGGAGGACGGTGACACCTTGCTGGCAGTGTCTGGAGGACGGTGACACCTTGCTGGCAGTGTCGGGAGGACGGTGACACCTTGCTGGCAGTGTCGGGAGGACGGTGACACCTTGCTGGCAGTGTCGGGTGGACGGTGAAACCTTGCTGCTGCTGCTGGCAAGTGTCGGGTGGATGGTGAAACCTTGCTGCTGGCAATGTTGGGTGGACAGTGACACCTTGCTGCTGGTAGGTGTCGGGTGGACAGTGACACCTTGCTGCTGGTAGGTGTCGGGTGGACAGTGACACCTTGCTGCTGGTAGGTGTCGGGTGGACAGTGACACCTTGCTGCTGGTAGGTGTCGGGTGGACAGTGACACCTTGCTGCTGGTAGGTGTCGGGTGGACAGAGAAATTTTGCTGCTGCTGTCAGTGTCTGCAGGCAGAGACAGTGTCACTTACCTGCAGCAATGTTCATCACCGACCTTCGCAAGCAGTTCTACAACCTCATTACTGGCAAGGTAACTTTCTTCTCGCACACACAAAGTAAACGCATGAATGTAGTAAAGTATCAATGGTAAACGAAATAAACCCATGAGGTAAACAATATAAACACAGTTTTGCTTCTTCAGTAGTGACCATCATTCAACTTAAGTTCCTCCCTCAACACCTCTATCTTTCCTACTTCATCCTCCCATCTTCCATCTCTCTCCTTCTACCATACAGCACTGTATAACTTTTGAGTTTAGAGCTTTCTACCACCTCATGGTAATGGGTTTTGTTGTGCCTAACATTATTACAGTAGGGCCCCACTTATACGACAAGTTTGGTCTCAAGTTGCTGCTGTAAAGCGAAAGTCTTTTCACTTTCATATGCATAAAAAAGCCTGATAACATGTTCACAGTATCATGAAACTAAGTGAGCAATAAAGCTAGGCCTAAAAAATGCATATACAGTACATTCTCATCCTTAGCTTATAGTGAGTAATGAATATACATATTTATTGTAGGAAGTCTGAATAAATGAAGAATGGCTACAATTCAATACCATTGCAGTAGCAAAACACTTGTAAAGCAAAGTGCTGTAAAGCAGGGCCTGCCTGTACATGGAATCTACATTGCCTGTATACTGCAAAAAAGAAATAGAATTATTTGTATTTGTAATTTATTTATAGATGGCACAACTTTCATTATCTCCCCTTCAGATCTGGTTTCTTGGTAGCACTATTAACTAATGGAAAAACTCAAAATTATCTACAGTATTTGGTTGAATGCCAGTAGGCTCACTCTTATTGTTGATAATACAGTCTACAAGTATTATAATAATAATGCAGTGGAACCTCAGTATGTGACCTTAATTCATTCAAGAAGACTGTTCGAATATCGAACAAGTTCTTCCCAACCAATTTTATGTTTGCTTGGCTGTTATCACTAATCGTCATAGGCCCCATGGTGACTTATTTATACAAATACAGTGGTACCTCTAGTTTCGAATAGCTCCCAACTCTAACAGTTATGTAAGTGTATTTTTGTAAGTGCTTTTGTAAATGTATTTTTGGGGGGTCTGAAACAGACTAATCTAATTTACACCATTCCTTATGGGAACAAATTAATTTGGTATCGGCACTCGAACAGCCTTCTGGAATGAATTAAGTTCATAACTCGAGGTACCACTGTAATACAAAAAAACACCAAAAAATGTGAAGAAACACACAGTTTACAGCGAAGTTCTGGCAGGTCGTATTTGTTTGGTGAAGTACTGAGCTTTGTTCGAGTAGGGAGCTGGTCATATACCAAGGTTCCGCTGCATCTTTATTTACTATGAGTACATGTACATGGTATACAGACCTAGCTGACATCAATGACATACTACTATATAGAAAGCTGCTTGTTTTGCAGAGCATTTCAGGTAAATTAGGTCAGTTTTGTCCCAGGATGCGACCCACGCCAGTTGACGAACTCCCAGGTACCCATTTTTACTGATGGGTGAATGTAGACAGCCGGTATAAAGAAACATGCCCAATGTTTCTACCCTCGCTGGGAATTGAACCCAGACCCTTGCCATGTGAAGCAAGAGCTTTGCAATGGATTCAAATTGGATATGGGGAGGCACTAATTTGGCAATGTATTTGTAGATAAGCAGAGCAAACTCCTAGGTAGTATTAGTTAAGAGCTTTGGGTAACTTTAAATATAGGGTGAATAGATATGAGTGGGTATGAGTTAGACCTGCCTAGCCAGGGCCAGTAGGACTCCTGCAGTATTTGTTCTTATAATCTTAAATTGGGTAATGAAATTCAAATTCTTCGCAAAGCTATATGAGCTACATTAATTTTTTTATTCCCACAGCGTATCCTGCTCTTGGTTCACTTTGACGTCGATGGTATCTGCGCAAGTAAAATTCTACAGTCGCTGTTCCGCACAGATCACATATTGTACACAGTTGTCCCAATACAAACTCGGACAGATCTCATTAATGCCTTTCAGCAGCATGCAGAACAGGTATTTGCTAGACAGTATAGTATAATACTTGCCAAATGTGGGTAAAAATTATGCATGTCAGTGTTCTATGGGTAAATGTCAGGTTTTTATGAGTGGTACATGGTGCATACAGTGGTAGCAAGCATGCTTCAGTGAAGTGTTTCTTGTATAACATGCAAAGAAAATGCCCCAGCTTAAGTGAAGTCTATCTTTGCTTGTATAATGTGCAATGGCAATGACCATTTTACCACATTTTTCTTTAACACATGTTTGTGGTATCTCTTTAACACTCAGGATGTGATAGATTGACAGACTTACCAAGGAAATGTGATAGCAACATACAGAATACTCATAGCCATTGATAGAGTAGACAGGGATAGACTGTTTAAGAGGCATGTAAGTTCCCCCGTCTTCTAATAACGTGTTCATTTTTCCACTATGATCTACCTTGTCCATAATTACTATCACATTTGCTTTGTCTGTTTTGTAAGGTGAAGTCTAGGATCTTTCCTTAATTCATGGTATAACTTAGCAAATCTTTGAAGACAATTGTGTTGCAGAGGTCTGAGTAAAGCTCAGACCTCTGCAACACAAAATAGCTTTGCTCAGACCTTTGTTATTAGAAGACAGGGGTACTTACGTGCCTCTTAAGATTTGGGAAACGTACTCAGGACACAACTGGAAGTTAAACAGCTGAACCACCAGGATGTCAGGGAGTATTTTTCCACTCTCATGGTGTGTAGATAGGTGGAGTGATCTCAATGAAGATGTGGTGAAGACAGGTAACATGCAGGTACAATAAGGCCCATGCAGCTAGGAGGAAATTAATCTGTCAAGCAGCAAGTTGAGAGGCAGGACCAGGAGCTAAGACTAAACTGCAGTTACAGATAGGCGAGTACCGTGATTATAGCTTCGCTCCTGTGTCTAGTGATAGGTGTAATTTCTCAAGGAAATAAACAGTTCCAGAAACAAGCATACAGGAGGCAGTGCATCAGTGTGACAAAGATGGCAACAGGTTGGAAAAATTTATTTATTTATTTATTTATTTATTATTATTTGGACATGATACATAGTTGTACAAAAGAAATACAGTGGTTGAGTGTACATGCCAAAAACCCCTTGTATGCAGAGCATTGTGGGCAGGCTTAAAAATTAACTTAAGATTAACTAAGCAATGATATATTCATTGGTAAAAATACAGTAAACAAATTAGAACATGAAGTACAAATGAGTATTTCAAATAAGAGGCTTTATAGTTGTACAAATTTGAAGCACATTTGATGAGTTACTGAGCATTCAAGAGAATGTAGTATTCTATTAGGTAATGTAATTACAAAAAAAAACCTAGTTTGAGATACATTTAATCAGTATTTATTTAGTTGTGAGTGAGTAAGTGGTTTTTAAGAAGTCTTGAATTGATAAACAGACAGTGTTTCTTTTATATTCACAGGTAATGAATTCCAGATTTTTGGGCCTTTTATGTGCATTGTGCTTTTACATAGTGTGAGATGGACACAAGGTCATGTTCTGTTGAGGTTGGCAAGAAGCTTGAGGGGAGGGTTTATATCCGAGTTAAGTGTTCTATGTATGTAGTAGGTACAATAATAAGTATGGATGTTTTGTACGGTGAGTAAGCTTCGAGTTTTGAATGTTGGTGGAGTATGCTGCCTGTAGTGGGAATTTGTTATCATTCTGACTGCAGCCTTTTGTTGGGTAATTAATGGTCCGAGATGGTTTATTGTTGTTGAGCCCCATGCACAGATTCCATAGGTGAGATAGGGGTAAATGATTGAGTGATATTGGGCCAGGAGGGCTGACTGTGGAACATAGTACCGTATCTTCGATATGGTTGTTGCTTTCTTTTGTGCTTAACAGTATTTATGTAAACTACATTACCTTTATACTGCAGAAAAATAAATTATTTGTATTTTGTATTTTATTTTAAAGTTTTGTGTAATATCTACAGTTCAGTGTTTCTTAAGATGTTTATGGTATGATATACTTTATAAGAGATTATAAAGTATAATACATACAATTAAGAACATAAGAAAGAAAGAACACTGCAACAGGCCTACTGATCCATGCAGAGCAGGTCCATGTTTCTCCCAGGATTAGCCTAATGACCCACCCAGTCTGGTCACCTCCACTCAAGGAAGGAGCATGGCACCAGACCCAGCAGCACAAGCTAGTCAGGTCCAACTCACACTCACCCACACCCACTCATGTATATTTAGCTAACCTATTTTTAAAGCTACACAACGTTTTAGCCTCGATTACTGTACTCAGGAGTTTGTTCCACTCATCCACAACTCTATTACCAAACCAGTGCTTTCCTATATCCTTCCTGAATCAGATTTTTTCCAACTTGAAACCATTACTGCGAGTCCTGTCTTGGCTGGAAATTTTCAGCACGCTATTTACATCCCCTTTATTTATTCCTGTTTTCCATTTATACACCTCAATCATATTCCCCCTAATTCTACGCCTTTTGAGAGAGTGCAGATTCAGGGCCCTCAGTCTATCCTCATAGGGAAGATTTCTGATACGAGGGATCATCTTTGTCATCCTCCTCTGTACGTTTTCCAGAGCATTTATATAAATAATATTAAACATGTATTGAATGCTCTGCATAACAATGGGTTTTCTGCATGCACACTTAAATGTCGCCCATCTCTGTACAAACAATATATGCTGAAATAAATATTATTTATGATTATTATTATTATTATTATTATTATTAAGAAATGTGAGGTAGGTTTTGATTGAAGAATAACTGAATATGGTGTACCATGAGGATATTTGTTTTAATAAATTGAAACTAGGTTGTATTTCAAGCTCTTCTTTAGGAAACATGGCAGTTTGTTTCATCTTACCTATTTACAGCTATAACACATACTGTATGCTTAGTAGGGTTTTTCCTTGCAGGTGAAACACATAGTTCTAATCAACTGTGGTGGTTGTATTGATCTAGTTGACCTACTGCAGCCTTCAGATGATCTCGTATTCTTTGTGGCTGATAACCACAGGCCTCTCGATATTTGCAATATTTATAATGCAGAACAGGTAAAGACTTGTATATTTCTTATTTTATTGTTCCCTTATGATAATGAAGGTAGAATATTCATTCTGTAGCCCTTACAACATGTTTTGTATTATACCCTGATTTCATTTATATTGTAAATATATACTACATATTACTTAAGTTATAGTAGATTGCCATTTTTTCCATAATTTACTGTTGTAAGCAAGGTCTCATTTTTTCTATGCAATTTCAGGGTCAGGCTGTGTGTATGTGGGGGGGTGGTTATATAGATATTGTACATGTACTGTATCTTGTTCACAGTAATGCATGTGGCAGGGTTTACCTGGAGATTACCTGTAAATGGTTTTGGGGGTTACCACCCTCACATCCTGATCCCAGACCAGGCCTCCTTGTTGCTGACCTGATCCACCAAAGTACGAATTACAGAAAATTTATATGTATTTGGAGACTAGAATGCTAGAAAAATGCTGTTTGCTTTGAAGGGTTGTGTGAGAAGTGTCAGCAAAACAGAGGCTTGCCTGCAGATTGCTAATTTATTATAAATTTAATTATCCTTTAAGCACAATTTTATAATGAATATACAGTGGACCCCCGGTTAACGATATTTTTTCACTCCAGAAGTATGTTCAGGTGCCAGTACTGACCGAATTTGTTCCCATAAGAAATATTGTGAAGTAGATTAGTCCATTTCAGACCCCCAAACATACACGTACAAACGCACTTACATAAATACACTTACATAATTGGTCACATTCGGAGGTAATCGTTATGCGGGGGTCCACTGTACACTGCTTACTTATTCTTGTATACCATATGATGCTTGAAGTGTATATAATGATTGTATCAAAACAAAGGAAAAAAAAATGTGAATTTCCTAACAAACCTAGTACATACTGCATTTCCTGGTGTATTATACATTACAATAAGTGCACATTAATTTAACTTGTATAGTGATGTATCTGCTTAAGGAGTAATTAGACTGAGTTGCAAATATTGAATTTCTTATTTTTATTATTTTTGGTTTTTGTTTGAGTTCCTAAGAGTTTTATACTTACAACAACTGTGGTTCTGACTGTTGGCCTTTTTCTCCACCAAGATTGTGAAAATAGCCCTAATGTCAATATTTATTTTTAGTTTTCATGAAAATTTTTATGAGACATTTTCTTAAGTTTTAATATAATGAATTTTAGTTTCATTCCAGAGAATATCTTTAATGCTTGAATTGAGCTACAGTACATCAAATTTGGTACATATATATATGTTGAATAAAAAAAAAAAGGCACATGGTTTTTAAATTTAGGGACGCTATAATGCTGTATTTCTAAATATTTGTTAACAAAGACCACAATGTACAAGAAAATAATTTTTCAAAATTTCAGTAGAGCCTCTTTTTCAAGGGGGATGACTTGGTTCTGGTGAAGCACTTTTTATCCAAGGAATGGGAGCTACTCTCACCTTGATTACCTCCTAGTCCCCAGGGGCTGTATGACCCCTATGGGTTTAGTGCTTTCCAATGAATATGTTGTAATAATACTGTAATTGGTTGTAGTAGGTTGGTAGACACCAACCACTCAGGGAGGTACTACCGTCCTGCCAAGTGAGTGTAAAACGAAAGCCTGTGATTGTTTTACATGATGGTAGGATTGCTGGTGTCTTTTTTCTGTCTCGTAAACATGCAAGATTTCAGGTACATCTCGTTACTTCTACTTACACTTAGGTCACACTGCTTATACATGTACACATTTATATATACACACTCGACTGAGTTTTCTTTGATTTTATCTTAACAGTTCTTATTCTCATTGCTTTTCCTTTTATATCCATGGGGAAGTGGAAAAAGAATCTTTCCTCCGTAAGCCATGCGTGTTGTAAAAGTCAACTAAAATGCCGGGAACAATGGGCTAGTAACCCCTTTTCCTGTATAGCCAACTAAAGAAGAAAACCATCAAAGTGCGATGTTTGAATGTGTGTGGATGTTGTGTGAATGATAAGAAAGATGATTGTGGATGTTATGAATGAGAAGAAGCTGGATGTCCTGGCTTTAAGTGAAACAAAGCTGAAGGGGGTGGGAGAGTTTCAATGGGGAGAAATAAATGGGAAAAGGTCAGGGATTTCAAATAGTTAGAGCTAAACAAGGAGTAGCAATAATGTTGAAAGATGTTATAGCAGGAAAAGAGGGAATGTAAATGTATTAATTCAAGGATTATGTGGAGTAAAATAAGGGTTGGATGTGAAAAGTGGGTTATAGTAAGCATTTATGCACTTTGAGAAGAGAGAAGTGTAGAGGAGAGAGAAAGATTTTGGGAAATGTTGAGTGCATGGGGAGTTTTAAGCCAAGTGAGAGAGTACTAGTGGTTGGGGATTTCAGTGCTAAGTGGTTAAAAATGTTATGGACGGAGTAGTATTTACATTTGCGGTGCCAGGGGTAAATGAAAGTGGAAAGCCTTCACTTGAGCTATGTGTAGAATGAGGTTTGGTAATAAGTAATACATATTTCATGAAAAAGAGGATAAACAAGTATACAAGGTATGATATAGCATGTAACGAAAGTACCATAGTTTGTTAGATTATGTATTGGTGGATAAAAGGTTGATGGGTAGGCTTCAGGATGTACATGTTTATAGAGGAGCAACTGGTATATCGGATCATTATTTAGTTGTAGCTACAGTTAGAGTAAGAGGTAGATGGGATGAAATGAAAATGGAAACAATGGAAGAGAGGTGAAAGTGTATAAGTTTAGGGAGGAGGAAGTTAGGGTGAGATATAAGCAACTATTGACAGAAAGGTGGGCTAAGGCAAATATGAGTAGTGGGGGGGGGGGAGGGGGGTTGAAGAGAGTTGGAATAGTTTTAAAAATGCAGTATTAGAATGTGGGGCAGAAGTTTGTGGCTATAGGAGGGTGGGGGCAGGAGAAAAGAGTGATTGGTGGAATGATGAAGTAAAGGGTGTGATGAAAGAGAAAAAGGTAGCTTATGAGAGGTTTTTACAAAGCAGAAGTGTTATAAGAAGAGCAGAGTATATGGAGAGTAAAAGAAAGGTGAAGAGTGGTGAGAGAGTGCAAAAGGAGAGCAGATGATAGTGGGAGAGGCACTGTGAAGAAATTTTAATGAAAACGAGAAAAAATGTTGGAGTGAGATAAAAAAGGTTAAGAAAGCCTAGGGAACAAATGGATTTGTCAGTTAAAAACAGAGTAGGGGAGTTAGTAGATAGGGAGCTGGGGGTATTGGGTAGATGGCTGGAATATTTTGAGGAACTTTTAAATGTTGACGAAGAAAGAGAGGTGATCATTTAATGCACTGGCCAGGGAGGTATAATACCTTTTGGGAGTGAAGAAAAGCAAGACGCGAGTGTGGGGGAGGTGCGTGAGGCATCACGTAGAATGAATAAGTAAGTAAGTTTATTCAGGTATACACAAATACAGTTACATAGAATTATCATACATAGCAGCATATGTGTAGAGAACCTAGGATTACCCAGAAAAGTCAGACAGAGTGACTTATTTCCATTGGGGTCCTTTTACCTTATTATTATAATATAAAGGTTATAAAATTTTCTTATTATTCTATAATGAAGATAACATCTTATTATCATACTAAAAAGACTATCTACTACACGAGGGTCATTAAGACTATCTACAATATGAGGGTCATTACTAGGAATAAGGTAAAATTTACACGTGTGTTAGCTAAAAAATAGAAAGTCATTCCCCTCCCTTTCTGTAGCTACATTCATCAGACACCTTTTGGCACTCTTCTTGAACTGGTTCATGCTATGACTGGCTTTGACATGTGAGGGCAGTCTGTTCCATTCCTTTATTGCTGTACAATAAAAGGTGTTTGAAGCCTGGCCACTGACTGTGGGTACTACAAAGTTGTGCTCTCTCCCCCTAGTACTATGATTGCTTTGGTTCCCAACCTTGACAAAATTGACAGCAAGATATTCTGGACATTGTTTGTGAGCAATTTTATAAACATGATTTACTTTCAGTTGTTTTACTCTGTCTCAACATTCAGCATCTCCATACAGCAGTAATTTCATCCGGCCTACATGTTTTCATTGTCCCAGCCACCAGATAATCTTCACGATTTTGTTCTGTGGTGATTTTCAGTCTATCTTTCAGTTTTTTGTCAAGGCAGAGTACCAAGAAGAGCAAGCTAAAATCCAATGGCATTGTATAAGGGCTAGACATAGGTTCCTGCGGGCCATCAGTAGGTAGACACAGTGCTTGTCTTACAGGAACTTCAGTCTTGCGATTCGCTTTCTTTACTACACGTTGCCCTATCAATTCCTCCTGACAATATGCATGGTCAAAGGGGTAATCCCAAATATTTACTGATGAAACCAAAGTGATGGCTCCCATACATTAAATTAAAATTATTTACCCTTCTCAGTTTATGTTTCCGTGCCAAAGCGAATAGCTTCAGTTTTTCCCTAGGTGTAATGATAGTTTTGTTAGTCCTACTAAACCATTTGCGCAGGAAAAACCCTTTTCCAGTTCCAGTGTTAAAACATTAGCAATATCTTTTGTGGGTCTTTTACATGACACAAACAGAGCAGCACTGTCATCTGCATACATAGGAGTTTGCACTTGACACAGATAGGCAAATCATGACATAAACATAAGAATAATAAGGACTCCCGAATACTACCTGAGGGGAACTCCACATGTTATTGTGCAGGGGTTCTGATCTGTTTTGTTGATTTTGACTATTTTGTCTCCTGCGTTGCTAAGGTAGGACTTAAACCAGTCTACAGAACTATACCGATAGCTTGAAGTTTATACATAATATATTGTGTTGACAGTATCGAAGGCTTTTGCAGGGGGGCCTAGGTTTACCATACCTAATGAGGTTTCCCCTTTGACATTTTCAGTTCTCATGTAATCCATCAGATTAATAAGAGGTGTCGGTTTGAGTATGATCTTCTAAAGCCCGATTGATAGCTATGGAGAAATGTTGTTGTCATTAAGGTACTTAACTACTTGAGAATACACTGCCCACTCTATAATTTTAGATATTAT